GGCCTGAGTGAAGAACGCGTCATCATCCTCCTTCGCCTGTCATCCTGCCTCTGCTAGAGCGATGAGCTCGCTCAGTCTATCAGTGTCGTCCTCAGCCTCCTCAGCCTGCAAGCCCGCCTCAGCAAGAGCGATGAGCTCACTGAGTCTGCCAGTGTCGTCCTTAGCCTCCTCCGCCTACGAGCTCGCCTCTGCTAGAACGATAAGTTCGCTCAGTTTGGTAGTGTCATCCTCATCCTCGTCCCTCTCATCAGATAACAAAATCGGTGATTGAACGGTGCGACCAGCTCATGTTTTGTGCTCATCTAACTTCTTTTTCTCATACCTTGCACGAGCCACCTCTCCGTCATGGTCCTTGCTGCATCCAATCCCTTCATGTATAAAATGCAATCAGTTAGCAACGCGATTATATTACATTTAAAATCAGGCAACGAAAAAAATGGCTTTCAAGCACTCACTGGCACATAATGCAACAACTTACTCGTTCAAGACCTGCATCTGTACTCTTGTCTTCTCCCTTACCTCTTTGCTTGCTCTCTCCTCCTCTAACACCCTCCGTCTCTCCAATCCTCATTTGCTGAGCCCAACATCGATCAGGTTACGAATACCGCGCTGTCTAGCAAACTCACGTATCTTGTCTTTGTGATGTTTAACGAATAGGTTGACGTAGTCAGGTCCATATCCCCTCTTCCATGCAATTACTTGCCTCCCCTTCGATTCATCCAAGAACTTAGCTTGACTATGATAACATTCCCACCTGTATTTTTTAGTGCTATGTTCAAACGAAAAATTATATCATATATGTCTTAGCAAAAGAAATAAAATACGATTTCATATTTATCACAAAAATAACCAACCTCATCATAGTCAACCATATGGCCGCAATAATGGCTTATTCCAAGCTCCGAAGGGACTAGGCCATAGTTGGATTTAACACCACATTCGCACATGACAGGATGTGCTTTGTAAATTACCATTTTTTTTCTTATTTTCCTTAACCTTTGGTGGTTCTTTCTGCCATTAGTTCTTAGGACCATACAACCACTGCTTCAAATGACATTTTGTCATTGAAAACACTTAAATAAGGTGACATTAGTACATGAACACATATAGCTCAACATTTCAACACATACACTTTGCACTTACTTCATGCTTGTTTAAACACACAAACTCCAACGTATTTTCAGGGTTCATCACAGCTCGATCTCCGCAATCGCACAGAGAAGGTTCCTCGAGTCGTCTAACTGTGGCTAAGTGCTTCACCTTAGCCGTCATTGGAGGGGGTTTAGGGGGAGGTGGAACCCACCGCTCGAAGTGCTCTCGTGGATGTCGCCCTCTCCACCAATCATCGAAAAGGAGGTACCTGGGGTCAAACTTGTCTGCACCGTCGATCCACTGAAAAAAAAGCACCTCTCATGGGCCTACGCAATAAAATTTCAACAAAATATTAGTAACCTAGTAATACAAATAAAGAAAAAAAAACTTACGAAAACAATTACTTACATTAAAACGACTGCATGTGTAGAAGCAACGAGCCGCTGTGTCCGGATGTCTCGATTAAAACACGTCGGTCGGACGACCACAATCATAGTTAGGGACAGGGAGGTCAGAAGGGACGGGGGCATCTTTGTTTGACTCGTCGGGGTACAATTCTCTAGGACGACCCTGTTTTCGCCACAACTGCTCCCGAAACATGTTTTACATATAATAAAACGGTTCAAATTAAACAACAATCAAAACAACGCAAACTAATGTAAAATATAATCATTTGCATTGCAACTCAAATAATATAACCAACACTTATAGCAACAAAAGTATATATGGTAAACATACATCGACAAAATCAAACTAATATCTTCCTCCAAATCATATCCCATAGTTCCCAAAGATAATTTTCCTCCTAACATATACTCCCATTCATAATATTTCAATCCAGCATTCAAACGAAAATAAAAAGTGCGTCATTACCTTGAACGGGGACGAGCAGGGAGGGAGGCGGCCAGGGAATGGAAGGGAAGGAAGGGAGGGAGGCGGCAATAGAGGGCAGGCGTCGGACAAAGACTTGGGAGTGGCGGGCGGCAGGCCGCGCGGCGCCAAGGCGCGGTGGATGGCGGCCAGCAAGCGAGGGCGCGAAGGCATGCGAAGTGGGGTGTGGGCCCTTTAGCCGGCTCGCTGTCGTGCCACCGATCAAAGCGTGTCAACGCCACGCCCGAGATCGGTGGCGCAAGAGCTTTGCCACGTCATCGGTCGGCGACCCCTTGGCCGTCGCCATCGTCAGCCCCTCTCGCCGCCACCATGCATGGCGTGGCATTAGACTTTTCGCCGCACCATGGCAATAGGTGCGGCCAAAAAGTGTTAGATTTGGGAAAAAAATTAAACAGTGTTAGATTTAAAATTAGTTTAAAAAGTATTAAAAATCTCAAGCTCACGGCAAAGAGTACGCGCCTTTGTGGAGGAGCTCGTCGGCGCCCATGGCCTCGCGGCGTGGAGTACGCGCTTCCTTGCGGAGGAGCTCGTGCCAACGCTGTCCATGGCGCAGCGAGGAAGAATCGTGCCCTCGCGGCAAAATATGTTCGTGCCCTCGTCGTCGTCGATCATTGCGCCGCCGCCCGTATCATGGCTGAGCACTCGGCGTGCGTCATCGACTCAACATGGTGCTTGCCTTCGCTGCGCTTGGAGAGCGAGCCGGATGGCGGCGCGAGCGTCCCGCAAGAAGCCGAGATGCATGGACGAGCCACCCTCCGTGAGCGCTCATCTTTCCCGCCGCCACGCGTCGCCCGATCGAGTGTAGAGGCGCATCGGTGGTCAAATGAACCCATCGCCCACCTAATTTTTTCCGCGTTAGGGCGTTGAAACCATAGTATGGACGGAGGTGGAAGGTAAGCGCCGTGAGGCCATCGTCTATCATTGTTGATTTGTTGGCACGGCGGCATGTCGCGGTCGTGCTTCTGACCAAGTTGCTTTTGTTCGTAGCCTTGAAAGCGACACCTGACGCCATGCGCGAAGACATGCGGCGCCTGAACGCGGATGTGCAGGAGGCGATGCACGCACACCTGGCGCGCCGCCGAGGAGCTTCTCTAGGAGCAGTATTATATATATGAGTCTGTCTAGCCAGCAACCATGTGTTTCAACAAAAGATAGCACATGGTTGTTTGCTAGCTATAAAACACACAATTTGTAACAGAGAAAAAACCATGTGTTTTAGCGCAAGCTAGCACATGGTTGTTGGTTGCTTGCGTAACACATGATTTCCAAGAGAGAAGAAACCATGTGTTTTAGCACGAGGTAGCACATGTTTTTAAAGAAGGCCCACTTAGAGGAAATCTGTTATAATTTCTGTGCAACCAAAGTTGGCCCATTAACTAAAATGACAAAATGGCCCATTTAACATCAGTAGCCCATAAGAGAAGCCCAAAACCATGAATACATAGAAATATAACTAAAATTACAAATTGGCCCATTTAACAGCAGCAGCTCATAATAAAAGCCAAAAACCATGAATACATAGGAATATAAAACTCGGGAGAGAAGCAAAGCAAAAACAGATATGATGCATGGGGAAAGCCTCTACTCTGCTTACGCAGAGCAGGGTAAAGGGGGAGACATCAGATTACAAAGAAGAATAGGAAATTTCAAGAAGAAGAACTACAAGACTGATCCATACCTCATCAGCAAAGGTTAGTAAACACATGTACAATCTTATTGACAAAATAATAACACTGCCACTGTAAAAAGAAACTCTGCCACAAATCAAAATTAACTCAGAGCACCCAACTATTTCATATGCCGCTAGATTTTGCAATCTTATATGCAAATTAAGTGTAATGCATTATATCGATGAAATTACTACGAAACCAAATATTTACTCACACATAATGAGATGTTCTCGGTGAAAAAATACACAATGATTATGATCTACAAAAATTACAAAACAAGAACATGAAAATTGCATGTTTCAAATAGTGCAAATACTACATGTTGTTAATGCAATTATATTGTATATGTATATAAATACAGAATCCAGCTCATGAATGTGGAGCCTGCTCACAGTACAATTAACACAGCACAGAATGTGTACATAAAAAGAATGACAAACTGGGAGACAGCAACACATATGAGAGAACACTTTAAATACCTCATACTGCCAGATGCCAAAGGTTCACATAATGAGATAATACAATTTTCAGAAGCACAAAAGATGTAGAAAGAACCTTAACATGAGCCTCCAGTTGCAGCCATATTTGGATGACATCCTAGTTCCTCGACCAAGTACTTACACACCTCCAGATGGCCCTAGCATGCTGCTCGATCACCATTTTCTATGCTCAGGTTCCTTATGATACCTTACACACAATGACACAAACAAGTTACCACATTGAGGATGCAGATACCCAACACATGACCGCACAACCATCAAGAAAAACTAGCAATTACACCCACTGGCAGATCCTACTAGCACACTACTACAACCATTCTTGCATGTGAGTAAGCTGCCACAAGCACATGCAGCTATTGGAGATCACACTGGTACACTATTGTAGAGAAATTATCATGAGCAAATATCATGCACAAAAAACAGAAAAACTTATACATAAAATAACAAGGAGGAGTTTAGCTTCTGGGGTCTGTATTATATTGATATGCAAGGACAAGGACAAAAATAAGATGTGTGTTGGCACAAATCAAAATTAACAAAGTTCATGAAGTGTTAGCACAAATCACAAGAGACAAAAAATTTTCTATGAAAGGACAAGGACATAAACTTGGCTTGGGCAAGCACAAACCACAATATGCAAAGGAAAAGGTGAGCTAGCACAAATGACAAGGACAAAAAAAGGGTGTGTTGCCACAAATCACAATTAACAAAGTTCAAAATGTGTTAGCACAAATCACAAGAAACAATTTTATTCTATGAAATGGCAAGGACAAAAATTTGGTGTATGCTGGCACAAATCATATTTTTTATCCAAACTAGAATGTAGAAGTAGCAATGATGTAACCACTTAAAAACCCTGTGCAATTTCTTCCGTCGAGGGCCATATATCCCTGAAGTAGACTTCCTTGCCATCCTTTCCAATTCCAATGGGCTCTTTCTCAAAATCAATATCAACCTGAAAAGTACAACTTCTAATATTAACTACTACCCTGAAACCGTAAGCATAGATGTACTGAAGTTTATTGACCATGACAACCCTAGAATAAGTTATGTGGGAGAAGACACAAACTTACAGTTCCAAAGAAGTGCATAAGCAACAACAAGAGGTGGCGAAGCAAGATAGTTAGCCCGAGTTAAAGGGTGCACACGACCCTCGAAGTTACGGTTACACGACAAAACAGCAGAAGACAGCAGCAACATCTCTGCTCAAAAGAGGTAGCGATAAGCCAATCATCTGAAAAAAACTGAAATTTGTTACAACTAAATAGTCAATCATCATAGAATTAACTTACCATTTTTCTCACGTAATGGCAACCGATCTGATTCATCGAGATCACCGAGTTTCCAATGCAAGTGGTACAACCATAGCCAACAGCTTGAAATCCTTGCTTGGTTCAAGTATTCTTGAAGGCCATCAGTAAATAGGAATCACCAGATTCGATTAAAACATGCCATCTCATACACAATGAAATTCTATATTTCAACGTTTTTTATTAAACAATGACAAGATACCTCTAAAGCAAGTACTTCGTGACAACTCCCGATCCAGGGCAAGGCTTGTCTTCACCCATGGTTTAACCTGAAAACAAGTACCATCTCACATCAACAGAAGCACAGAAAGGCACTAAGCATAACAGCCCATGATTACATTACTAGAGGACTAACCTCAAGACCCAACTCGTAGGCTTTCTTAACTACAAGACCAGCACCAAGCATAACACTAGGATTTGAGGTGTTTGTGCAGCTAGTTATTGCTGCTATAACAACACTACCATGCTTGATTTCTGCTGGCTGCCCGTGAAAGTCAAATTTGACAACCTTATCCTGCTGCTCCTTTGGCACTGCAAATAGATACCTTTCGCTTACTGTCAGTTTTCTAAAGCAAATAGGGTTCACAGGAAAGATGCAGTGTGGTCCTGAGAACCTATTGAGGCAGTGAAACCAAAGCTACATTCATCATCATCACCTACTGCTACTGGGAAATAAAGCAGACATGCACAACACTGGTAAAGCCAGCATGTTTATCAGTATTAACAAAGATAGATGACAAACTAGGACACAACCACAAAATCATGACAAATATAAAATGCAATTTAGTAACAAATATACTAGCTCTAGCACAAATCACAAGTAACAATTTAGTAACAACGAGACTAACGGTTCAACAACAGCATATTGCATATGCTTAGAACTAAAATTGCGGTGTCTGATACTTGCAATCTACATTATAGCAAACTGCAATTATGTAACTGAATCTTTAAATTGTTTGATTTACTGAATCTTTAAGTTGTCTGATCAAAAATAGTTCTTTGGTATCACTAAAGTACAACTGACATAAGACATAAGTGCTCCTGTATTCAGAGTAGTACTTTATCCCAGAAATAGAAAGGGAAACAAATAAATCTATATATCATTGGGCATTAGCGCATCAGAAACTCGAATTTGCATCATCCATTTAGATGTCCTAAAGGGGAATCCGAGTAACCGAGTAAGATCATCATTTACAGAGCTGCAAGCCTAGAATGTTGTCACAAGATAACAGTCCAATACTTAGTTAGATTCAAGCTAATGAGTTGGCAGAAACCAAAACTCTACTTTTTTATATATAACATTATTGCCCGTGCTAACGCTACGGTTCTCCCATTACTTAAACCAAAAGGAAACTAAAAAAACAGATCCAAATATCATCTTCTAGGTAAGATTTTTATCTTCACATGGCCGGAAGAAGAAAAATCTAACACAAAATCAAAGAAAAAATCAGAACAAACTCTTGATCTGCAGTTTCAGATTAAAAACCACAAAAGCTATGATAATATAGCTTTCCATCACTGGTATCAGTGGAATAAAAGCACTTGGGGTAATTGTTTCATCATCAATCAGCCAGCTCAAGAGTTGACAAATTGTACTCCAGAACCATCCAATCAGTATTTTAGTACCACATAGGTATCGAAAATGAACAGATCTAACACTACAAAAAACAGACCAGCAACACACTGCATGGATCTACGAAAAAAAGCAGATATGCACATTACAGTGCTCATGTAAGTCATAAACATCAAAAGGACAAAAAAGAAAGCCCAAAGAAAACTCTGAAAAGCACACCTAATGGCAAACGAAAAAAAGAAAAAAGAAAAAGAAAACATGACAGAAAATGAATATTCAGACAGGGATAGCACTAGTACGAGCTGACAAAAAATATATATTCACGTCAGTCTAAAACACCAATATGAGGTAATATGAAGCAAAAAGAAGGAAAACCATGGCTAAAAACAGTCTAAAAATTTAGCTCTCTACTGCAGTACTGTTCTAGCCAGACCATATACTAATCAAGAATTGTTCACCTATAGAAAAACCCGCAGCACCAAAAAGGACTGACTGAGCTAAATTGAGACAAAATAAAATGAATTGTCCAGAAAGCAGAGTCTGCAGGGAAACTGAAAAACTACTGAACTGCAGACAGGAAACTAGCAGAACACTATAAGCTAAAGCTACTACTGCTGGACAGGCCAAAAGTGCTACCTGAAAATAAAACTAAAAGCACCAGAATAACCACAAGATTTGAAAGACAGTCAATACTAAACCAGATGACCACTACACACGATTAACTGAGCAACTAGACTATCTAAGCACAGATACTAGCTTGCAATAATTAAATACTAGATGAATATGTAGCAAGAAAGGGACGTTGCACAGAGATTTAATTCGCAAATTGCTATCTGGAAGTTGACTGCACTTTGCCAATCTGAAAAGCAAGAGTTCGGTTGTATTGCTCAATGGCTGCTACTACTGATATTGCTCAACTTGTAAAAATGACAGACCAAGATAAAACAGACACGAGCGCAAGCTGCTAAATGAGCATGATCAGCCAGAAGAAAACACAGAAGATTAGCAGCACGATCAAATGAAGACTGAACTGGGAACAAAAAGCTGCTGGTGATTCTCTGAACTAAGCCGAACAATGAAATGAAACCCAGATGGGCGATTCTCCCCACCTGGATTTCAGCCTTCAGTCAAAAAAAGAATGATATAGAAATAAACACTATACAACTGAGATTTCAAGCAGATCACAAGCACCATACAAGCACCACACAAGCAAAAAGATCACAAGCACCTTACAAGCACCAAGGAAAAAAAATCACAAGCACCATGTATTTGCTGCTGCAGTAACTGAACTTGTGGTAGATTGGATATGCTCCTACACCATCCGATCCTCCACTCAGTAGCTCGCATCCACAGGGCACTGCATATCCATAGCAGCAATAACTATTTCCTCATCAAGCTCCCACAACGTTGACAATGACACACTTACAGTTGAGGAATCAAATTTGCAGTAGTTGAATCACATTTACAGTTGCTGAATTAACAGCCTATCCTACTTCACTTTTTGGATCAAATACAGAAGTTGAAAAATCATGTCAAATACCATCATTACTTGCTAAAAATCAAACAAACATTGGAATGTCTGGTTCCTCTCTCTCCTTCCCTCCCTCCCTGGCTGCTTGCTTTGCTTCAAGATCCCAAGGAAGCTGAGCCACCGACCACCTCGAGAAGAAGTGAACTGAAACTGGCAGCAAGAACACACGCAATAACTGAAAGTGCACACCACATCCACACACGCGCCTAGCGATGGAGTGACAACCATCGGCTTGCTTCCGGCGATGGCCATTGCCAACCCCGCCCCATCTCCTTTGTCATGCGTACAAGACATCCCACACATCACCCTCCCCCACCTCGCCTGACATCATCCCCGCTTCGGTAACAAACACCGCTCCAATCAGCGCCCGGTCGCTCGTCGGCGGCCGCGAAGAAGCAACAGCACACAACGCAAATCCAACACACAAAATACAAAATCTCCGGCGAGACGACGCCCGTCCAGGTGAGGCGAAAGCAAGCGACTTCATCCTCCCTGGACTCGAACCACAAATACATCAAACATACCATCAAATCCTAGAATAATCAATCAAACAACTACAGAACCAGATCTACTGAACCAATGACCCCTAACAACAGAGTTCAAATCAAGGGACAGCGTGCGCCGTACCAAGGTACCTGCCGACCTCTAGCAATGGCGCCCTGCGCCCTCATCGTTGGAGACGGCCGCCGCCCGCGCTGCTCGGGAGAGCTTGTCCAGGCACGACCTGTGCCGCCGCTCGGGGACCACGTCCGGTCGCGACCCGCGCCGCCGCTAGGGGGACCTCGCACGGGCCCTCGTCGGCCGCGGCCATGGAGGACTGCCCCGCCGTGGCCTTCGGTAGGTGGGCATCGTGCCCGGAAATGTGCGCCGCTGCGCCTGGACGAGAAGAGGATAGAGGAAGGGGAAAGGTTGCAGCCGGTCTCACCCACTGGAGAAGTGAGTCGATGCGTGGCCTCGAGGTCCGCATGGCGCAGGTCAGAGAAACAAAACATAAATGTCACATCGAACGACTCACGAGACACGCGCGAGACGGATCCGACGAACAGAAAACCCATGTGCCAACGAACACAAAAACACACATGTATTGTATAGCATTCCTGTATATATATATATGTCCGGCTTCGTGCCCTGTGCGTGGCGACGCTCGGTGCCTGCGACGCGGCCTTTTCTATGAGGACGCGGGACAACTCCACCGTCGTGGAGGAGCGCCTACGTTCCATGCCGGGTCGCCTTCGGCAGGTGGTGATCGACGCCATCCGTCAGGGGGCCGCCACACAGCTTCGGTTCCGCGGGGGTGGCGGACATGCACGAGATCGCGCGCGGGTTCCCATCTTCGTTAAGGGGTGGTGGATATAAAACCCAAGAAAACCCGAAATCTAAACCCAAATTACCGACCCCGACCCCAAAATATCCGAATCTGGATACCCGATCTCTATTTCAGATAGTGAGTTCAAGAACCCAATTTCAGTTCAGATAATTCAGGTATTAGGTCCTGGTACCCGTTTTACCGAAAATAGTGGAAGACTATATACAATATCGTAATTGATTGTGCTATAAATATTCTAATGATAGTTGTGATGTCAGTGGGACATATTGATCTATGAAGTAACACTCGTGCTTTTTGTTCTAAAATGCTACTTCACTTGCATCATCTATATTTCTTTCTCTTCTGAATATTTATATGGTTTTGCTAATTTCGGGAAGCTAGGAAATACCCAAACCCAAATTTCAGATACCAGAAATATCAGATACTGTTAAAATTTTGGGTATCAAATCCAGGCCCTAGATTGCTGCCTTGTCAAGCAACCTTGCCTAGACAAGCAACCAAACAAACTCTTTAATTCATGACCTAACAGTTATTTGTGTGGCTCAACTTTTGCAATAATTAGTCTGATTCTTTTGGTCACAAGAGACGGAGCTGGATTGATTCCTTTATTTAAAAAAATTGTCAAAAAAAATGAAGCAGTACATACCGAAATCCCTGTGTAATAAAGTGTGATTATCTCGCTAAACGGCAAAACTATGAAACAATTTTTTTGAGGATTGCAAAACGGCAAAAGTATGAAACAAATGTTTTGAGGATTGCAAAAGGAGAAAGGTGAAGTTCAACAGTTGCATCAACTCCACTTAAAGCAACAAGCTGGTGTGTTTTTTTATTTGTACCAATCGTGAAAGCGCAGCTGCTGTTTCTGTTGCGGGAGTTTATGGGTAGTAATAAAAAAATACTATACGAAATGGCCAAGTTTGAGTATAGTAAACCACTGGATACGTAACATATACCGCCACTACACTACAGATGTTACTAAACTCTAGTACCTGGCGCGTCTCAAAAAAAAAATCTGGTACCTGGTGTAGATCAGCATGAGAAGGTCTACCGGCCTCATGTTAGATGACACACAGAATGTCGACATTGTGGCAACACGTTACACATGCCAAAAGTCTTCTGTATAAGTGTTCCCCAAGACTTAGAGTTGTTAAAGTATCCGGGTTGCTGTACTCTCTTTATCCTAGTTTATTTGTTAGGTTGAAGAGATCGAGTCTACACATGCCACCAGATGACTAGAGCCGCTAATTCCGGTACGATGGTATGGCGGCTCCGACCGAA